TTGTCTGGCCGCGCTGTGCCCTTGGGGCACGCTGCAAACTACTGACGCTGTGGCCGGTACCTCTGCTATACCGTTTTGGGTCCTTTGGGCGCGTGGCGACGCCGCTGTCGTCGCTATCTATCATCAGTGTCACCTCCTTGCATTCTGAGTGCCTCCAGCTCGAATTACTAAGCAGTTCTTGAGCACCACTGGCAATGGTTTCCACCTCATTGGGCGCCAACCTGCCGGACGGTGGTTGGTGTGGCGAAGGCGCTGAGGTTGTCAACTTCTCCTCTCCACCACCCTGGCCCCGTGGGGCGCCAGCTGGGCGAGGTTGTTATTGTGTGGCTTTTTCTGATCAGGCCCATTATTGCAATAATCGCCAATTGGCGACCCGAACAATATGGTTTTATGATTTTCGTCCAAACTTTCGCCAGCCTTGTGGCAGTGATTCTGCCGCATCCGATTCATTGCGGCTTGGATCTCTACGTCAAATTTCAGTAACAACAATCGCTTTTTACTCAAATAGTGCATAACGTGTTTTTCGCTCTTTGGCAACACTCAGCGGCATCCCCTTTCAGATCTTACTGACGGGTGTCAAAAACAGTGTTTTAGGAAAAATGGAACAAGATCTAGTATTTGTTGTCCTCTGTTGTACCACTTTTTCCAGACAAGTGCTTCAAAGTATAGTGCCTCAACCCCATCCAACAAGTGTCAATCAAGCGTCCGAAATTGAGCGATTGGACACATGACTAACAACGAATCTGAAGTGCTTTGCTGACGTCCACTTTCAACGCCCGACGGAGCGTACTGAACCCCAATGCAACATTGTAGTTTGGCCCCAACGTCCCACTCAACTGCCCTCGCTGAACTCCTACCTAATGCGCGATGCTGAAACGAGCGAGACAACAACGGCATCTCGTGCATCTTGTGTCAACGGTTCCCACCGGATCCTGCAACTTTTCCTCCCTTCTGAAGTGTGTATGGTAAAGAGGATGTCTAGAAAGGGGATCGATCCGGGTACCTCCAGTGGGATGTCCCACCGCTCTAGCATACCACCTGGCCAGGGGCAGGAAAGAGGGCAGCCCACTCCCTTGACTAGTTAACGGATAGCACTACCATTAGGGGTAGTACTGTCCCTACTTAACCGATCAAGGGATAGTACTATCATGAAAAGGGATGGTACTACCGTTAGAAGCTTAGGGGGTAGCACTACCATCCCACCCAACATCCACCCATCCGCACACACACGGGTTCCACGTGGGCGGCTACCTCCCGGAGTCTGCGATCATGTGCTCAGCCTGGAGAAGCTTCTCCTTTCGGAACCCATTTCGGAATGCCCGAAATGCGATATCAACTGGCCGTGAAAACCGCATAAAGGGCACCCGGCGTTACCGGCAGGTGGGACTCTTCAGTGTGGCGCTGGCTTGCGACGAACCTCTGCCTGTCGCCGGGCGCCGGCGCTGGTTCTCAGCGACGCAGCCCTAGCCTGTGCCCTGAGGTCCGGGGCGTAGGGGGGGTTGTTCAGGCCGCAGGTCACGCGGGGGCAGCCCGTTGCCGCAGTGCGGGTGCGTTCGATTGATGCTTCAAGGGACAACCGCGGTTGTTGATCGGCTTGTTGGGTTAGCGGGGCGCGTGTGAGTGACATTGACCGAAACTAGGACAGCGCCGTGCGGCGTTGGATGCATGGCGCTGAAGCGGCGGCGCGCATACCGCGCCCGCCTGTGCACTGCGAATTTGGTCCCAGTGTGCCAATGGCCATACTGACAGTCGTGGAGGTTGTCGCGCGTGGCCCTCAGGTCTTTCCTTGGCAGTCTCTGCGGCCCGCAGGGGAGACAGCACGACTTCAGTCTGCCGCGGGTAATTGTTAAGATGCTTTTCTTTGACAACTATTTTTGACTGCCGCGCGGCTGACGTCAGTCTGCTTGACCGTTGATGCAGATTTCAACAAGTGAAGTGCGCACACGAACGAAGCCGAACTTCGCGAGCGGCCAGCGCGCCGCTCCCCACTCAAATGAGCGGACAGCAACCTGGGGTAAGTGGGGAACTGTTGCCCTGATTCCTAGAGCTTCATGTGCATTTTCCCAGACTCCCAGGCAACCAGCGCCAACCACTCATGATGGACACTGGGCAAGGAGCAGGGCACTCTTTGGTCCTGTCTTACCAGCAAACAAGTGCCCACTTGGCTTTTTCTGGGGATCTCGTTGTGGGCGCAATCTTTGTTTTCCCTGGAAATTGGCTCGAAATAATGGACATGGAGGTACCACCTTGTGCGCACTGATGTACTGACACAGCAGTTCTGTGGCTGGGATGCCCACAAGATGGGATGGCTTAAAGAGTGGTGGAAATCTGTGTGTTATGGGAATTCTATTCTCTGCTGATTCTGCATGTCTTCTGCTGTGTTTGGAATCGCTGTTGCAGTTGATTTGATACTTCTACAGGCTTTCTTTAGCCCAACATGAAGGGGGACAATGGCATAAATGCCACCCTGCCATCACTGAAAGCCTATACCAATCGTTTTTGGTTATTCTGCAGGGGGGCCATCCCCTATACAACCAAAAGGTGATGGCATTCCTCAGGGCACAGATTGACAAGCTGGAGAATCTTGAGAGACCGACAAATGCATTGCAAGACGACATCGCAAAGTTTGAGAAGGAGTGCAGAAGAGGCTGTGAGCTCCTCAAGAAGCATGCTGAGAGTTTCAGTATCAACGATTTCTACACAGTTGGACAGGCATGTGCTGGTGTAAAAGAAATATGTGGGAATCTGAAGTACATCCTCAGAATGTGGCACATGGATTCCGACTTTAGGATAGAGGATGAGGTTCCTCAAGCTTGGGTCCAGGAAGATGAAGAAGAACAGTGCAAACTTCTTCACTACATCTTGAAGGACATATGCACTGGTGTCAACGATGATACATTGGAGTGTTGGAAGATCTTGAAACGGGAGCATGAAAAGCATGTCCGGGGCTGCTGCTTGCAGATTGTCAACGACAGTGTGCTCACCCTTGGGGGAAGGCGAGGAGAAGGTGGCTACTGTGTTGTCTATGAAGCGGAGTGGCCAGAGAAATGTACTGGCAAGTTGGCTATAAAATCGCCAAGGTATGGCATGGGCATAGTGGAAGTGGCAAGGCTCTACAAGGAGGCCTTGATTCAGGCTGCCTTGCACGATAGTCATGTTGTGGAGCTGCTTGCGGCCACCACCTCAGGACGGCTGGTCATGGAGCTAGCCGATGCCGATTTGACAGCTCACAAGGGGGCAAGATCCGACTGGCCGTGCAAATTGGCACTCATCCTACATGCCGCACTAGGCTTGAATGTCCTGCACTCCCAGAAGCCTGCGCTGGTGCATGCAGACGTGAAGACTGCCAATTTCCTTGTTTTCGGCCAACAGCCAGCCGACTATGTGGTCAAAATCAGTGACTTTGGGCAGACATACAAGCAGAAAGGGAGCAAGACTGTGAGGCTGGGAGGAGGGGGCACGCCCCACTACATTGCACCCGAGAGCTACCAAGGGGAATGTCTGACAACAGCATCCGATGTGTTCAGCTTCGGTGCTGTTATGTATGAAATTGTGAGTGGAATGATCCCCTATGAGCTGAAGCCAAACCAACACGAGGCATACATTGCGGCAAGAAAGTTAAATGGAGATGAGCCCTGCATTGTCACACAAGAGCACAAGTGCCCAGCCGCAATGCTGGAGCTCATGAGTGCCTGCTGTCAATTTAAAGCAACGTCAAGGCCAGGAATGCAGGAAGTATGCCAAAGGTTGGCACAGCTGCAGGTACTGACTGCATGCATGGGCACCATTCAATAACATACTGCAAGCTGCAGCACCTTTCAAAACAGTTGAAATCTTTTTGTTTTCTTGCATTTAAAACATTCTTGTTGTGCTCCTAGAATTTTTGGCCCTCTTTGGTTTCAGACTTTCACACCTGCTCATACAGGCCTCACTCGGTGTTATTTCTTGCTTTCTATGTCATGGGCAATTCCTCTTGTAACAACTCTGGAAGGGTGTCTTGCAGCACATCATAATCATGAGGACGAAGATCTATGAATTGCTATGTTGCCGTTCACGTCTTGTGCTGCAACTTCAGCATTTGCCTGCATCAGCAGTTGTGCTCTGCTGTTCTACCAAACTCTGGTGTTGTTTTTTTCCTATGCAAGAGTGTGAAATTTGCTCATTCATTCAGCAGCAAGTACAGTTCACCCTTCAACAAAAATAATCTACACGACAGGCAGCCCCATGCTGCAAGTAGGACTGCAATCCATTCCCAAGGAGTGAGCTGTATCCGGCTGGTTGGAACAGAGTCCATTGCCCTTAAAAGAAGATGCCTCTGTGCAGCTTTACATTTGATGCTTCGTGTTGTTCAAGACTTGGTGGGAGGGGCTCTGAGCCATTTTCAATTGCATGTATATGCGGCACAGGAATCTTGTGCTGGAGAACAAGAGCAGCAAGCACTGTTCCCTGAGGTAAGGGCACCATGTACACCATCAGGAATGATATTCACCTTGGCATCCTGCTAGTTTCCAGGCAGTTCAGTATCCCAGTATCAAAGACACTGGAAAAATGGCCCCAGTTACCAAGTGGAAACATGTTTGTGGTTGTGAGATAGCACAGCTTGAGGCAGGTGTCCCTTGTCAAGAAATGTCCTAGTTGTTTGCCAGCAGCAGCCAGCGGGTGAGCGAGAGTCTGCATAATGTGTGTACAAATTGCTCAGTGATTGCAATGCCGTTCTTGCCTGACACAGGCTTCTTGTGCTGGAGATCATGATCGGCAAGCCATGAAAACCAAGGCAATGGTACTGCCACCTGGAAGAATATCACCCTTGTGTCCTGTTGTTCTTAGGGCAGTTTCAACATGTCAATATTGAGGACCAGTGACAAATATTGCAGTCAATTGCGGTGGAAACACCTGATGTTGTCGTGTGTCACCATGAATATGGAACCAGCCTAACTTTTTGCAAAACAAGGGTCCCATTCTTGGCGGACAGGTAAGTGACATGTGTCCAACACGTGCAGGAACACGAGGATATGCCAGACGCCCCTGTATCAGTGTTGACAGACATCACATTTGATGGAGCTGACTATCAGGACATGAAGCACAATCGTGAATTGGCTGTCAGGACACAACAGATGATTGTTTGGTTGATTAGAACCGCATGCAGGCGTTGGACTGGTTATGACAGTGTTGCCAGTATCATGGATCTTCAGCAAGGCAGTGTTGTCTTCCAGATCCAGGTAAGTAGCGCATGGCAGTTGCATCCAACAATATCACAAGTAATGGGCAGGCGCAGCATTTCTTGCATCGATAGACATTTAGGCAGAATCAGCTGTGGATGCTTTCATTGGAGCAGCTGACTGAGCCACGGGCATTGTTGTGTCATCTGGAAAAATTGTTTTGTTGGCCGTTTGGCTCATTGCACACTGTTGGTTCAAGTGTGTTACCCCTCTTGAACCAGAAGAGCAACTTTGTCTCTGGAACCTGACAGTTTTGGTGCCACCCAACATGATGGAACAAACGTGCTTTGTGTCACTGAGGATCAATGTTTGCAACTGAGGGTTCCCATTCTTGAAATCAGGCTCAACTACTGTTGTTTATGGTCGACATGCACACTGATGCCTATTGTGTACAGTCATTGCTTTGCACCTAGGCCCCAGAAAATGTATCACTTATCATGGGCTCGGGAACTGAGGAGGCACTGCTTGCAACTCATCGTCACACAGTGGGGGCGGAGCTTGAGCAGTAGCTTGTGTTTGGGAAAATGGGGTGTGGACACATTGTGTTTCACATCCAAGAGTCCTGCCTTCTGCATTGTGGGCTACATGCGCAGCTAGCCCTTTTATGATGCCATGTAAAAGTATGAACATTTGCAGGGAAACAAACAATTGATTCGGAAGTTGTGATGCCTGTCTGGTTCTCCTGGCAAATCCATGAGCAGCATGACTGGCTCCTGCCAGGCAGACATGCAAGAATTGCAGATGGCCATACCATGCCACATGCAATGCCACATTGCAAAGCTGCAAAGAAGTTAGCTGTCACACCCCCAACGCTGTCCCAAAGGTTTGAATTCTGAGTGGCATGCAAACAGTCAGTGGTGCAATCACATAGCTCAAACTGCACTCAAGATGTCGTGCTGTGCTAAATCGTTGGGGACATGAACTGTGTTGCACAATAATCCAGACAAGGGTCCCAGCATTCCCATTTTTAAGGTGAGCCAGTCATTGCATTGTCCTGGTACCAGTAACTCTGCTGGAATATACTTATGATGATTCTGACATTTTGTGCGCGATTCACTCGGATGAACTTGTTGGCTAAAGGAAGGGTTTACAACTGCAACAAGATGTGGAGAATTCCTTGGGCTGTTTGTTGTCATTGGTTCCACCAAATGGCTGGAAAGGGCACTGCCGATTGCTGACACCAGTGTTTAGGGCATCTACTTGCACTATTGGCAGTGTTACATGAGTTCCATCGGCAAGCAACAGTCCACTGTTGTTGTGTCAGTGCCGTCAGCAGGTACCGGTCCAATTATATCACAGGAGGTCATTGAAAGGGCGTCAATTTGGAATCAACACAGGAGTCTGATATTTCAATGTGTTTGACAGGTTTGCTGAAATTCTTGGTGTCTTGTGCATGTAGTTTGACTTCCCCAATGCAGCTGCTGCAAAGCTGTTCAAGCAGGGGATTGCTCCCAGTGCATCCTTCATTTTCCAAGGGAGCTTAGCACTGCTGGCACTCAGGCCTCATTCGAAAATTGTCATACTCAAAGAATGGGCAGCTGCAGATGCTCAGGTAAAGATAGCTTGGTGGGACACAGGGATTTGCAACTCTTGCTTTGTCCATTTCATGGTTAAGGGATACCCTGAGGCTTGTGGCTGTGGCACACTGCGATGTGCAGCTTGATCACACGCACTCATGCAGGTGCATATTCCATGGCTTGGGGCCCATTGAGACAGAGATCGACTGATAGTCATGGCTGCAGCTTCATTTTGCTTCCGAATTGCTGGCAGCTCCTGATCGTCCAACCAGATGTGTGATCAATTCTGTTGCTGCCATTCAGAAATTTATGTTGCAAAAGCTCGAAGGACTGACTGCAAATGCTCTTTGTGAATACAGGCGTACGAGCTAGGAAACCAACTGCAGCAGACTGTGCACGACATAGGACAGGTTGCAAACATTGCATACAACCACCGAATGATGGATCTTCTCCAGAACATGATTGACAACATGAAAAGATCAACGTTCCACATCCCTCCTAGTGAGATTGAGAAGAGAGGCAGAGCTTGGAGGGAAGATGCTGTTGTGTTGTTGCATGAGTTGAAGATGGCACTGCAATTACTCAGGCAACACAATGCTGTTGACCTTGCTCATCTCTGCAGAGCTACAGATGCATCGGCAGCTGTGAAGAAAACCCTTTCAGCACTGTGTTTGTTCGCCCACAATTGGAATGTGCCCTTTCCTGTGCATTTTTCCGATGACCTCCATGCAGAGGTTGTGGAATTGGATACACACGACTTGAACGATGCTCTTGCCTATGTCTTCAAAGGCAAGACGATGCGATTCGAAGGGGCGTGGGAGCAATGCCGGAATGCATGGGAAGAGGCAAAGCGTGATTTTGAGATGAAGAGAAGTGCCCTCCCAGTGATTCCCACTGAAGCGATCAAATGGGTGTCTCTCATAGCTGAAGATGTGCATGAGATCGAATGGACACAGGCCCCTGGCGACAGTGCTCACATGCTGGCATACTGTGTTGCCCCAAGTAGCGGAGAGGACATGGACCTTGGAAACTTCGCAGAGCTGTACATGGAGGCGCACGATCAGTCGCATGTGGATCCTGAGTTTGTGGTCCAGCTGCGTGGGGTAACACAATCAGGAGCAATTGTGACAGATAAGGCAGACGGGAATTTGATGGCCTGGTACCAGGCACTTCCAAAGGCTCAGGCTGAAAGCACACTGGCTTTAAAAATTGGGGTCCTTGCCCAGGCTGCAAGGTCTCTGCACGGCATGCACAGCTGTGGCATAGTTGTGGGCGAGGTGAAGAGCACTAAGTTTCTGGTCTTCCAGGGAGATGGGAAAGAATGCATCGTCAAGGCTGCTGTGCCGATGCTTGAAGACTGGAGCGTGAAAAGCTGCCTGTCTACCAAGACTGGTCGTTGGCTTGCAAGAGAATTGTACGAAGGGAAGACACCAAGCCGAAAGTCTGATGTTTTTGGCTTTGGTGTGATGATGTACGAGGTGTTGATGGAGGAGGTGCCCTATGGAGAGGACACAACTGAGGCAGGGATCCTGGAGGCAAAGCTGACAGGAACGGAGCCTCATCGTCTTCCGCTCGACCTAAAGATGCAGTTGCCTGGTGGGCTGTTGGAGATCATGCAAAAGTGCTGCTCCTACTATCCGGAAGACAGGCCTGAAATGAGTGAAGTGGGCAGCTGTTTGTCGAAGTGCTGCTCCTGCACTGAAGAATACAGCAGTGAAACCAGTCGTGTGCTTAAGCATGTGCCTGGGATACCCTGGGTGGCTTGTGGAGCTCAGGCAGATTTTGCAAGTGGGGAACAGGCAGGGCTGGAAGAGTCAGCAAGCATATTCGCGCATGGAGACAAGACAGAAATGAGTGAATCGAACGAGAAGGTGAATGTGACCCTTGTTTGGATGGATATAAGAAGGGGATTGGAGTGGCTGCTTGTGTTTGCAGCCTTCACAGCAAGACTGAATCGTCTTGACTGAATCGTCTGGACTGAATCGTCTTGTGGAATGGTGGGGTGGGGTGGGGGTGGTGGGTGCATGGCAGCTGTGGGTTGGGTGGTGCCTCTCGATGCTAGCCCAAAGCACTTACCAGGAGGGTGCGCGCCCTCACCGTGCCTCTTAACTTCGCGATGAAGATGTCTTCCAGTTACACTGTGTCCTGCAGTGCAAGGGGCTTGATTGACCTTTACCTAGCATCCTGTTAATTGAACGGCACTTTGCCACATGCATGCGCTACTGGATGTCCATGCCAGAATTGTACATGGAGTTGTTGCACATCTAGATGTGAATTGACGTTGTATCATAAACTACTGGAAAAAGTCGCCAGCTGATTGAATCAAAGGCTTGCATCAACAGCAGAGCACTCACCCAGACTGACATCAGACGGTCCTTTGCAGTTGATTTTTTTTGTGGCTTTAGGTGGATCCACTGGCTGCTGCCAGCACCATATTCAAGCATGCACAACACATATTCAAGCTCGCCAAGGCTGCAACCACCAACACAGAGGAGTGTGAGGCAGTATGGAGCCGAGTGGAACAGCTGCTGGATGTTGTGAAGCGAATTTGCCAGCATCCTCATCCACAGCAGCAAAGACTGGTCCACAACATCGAGGCGGTGATGGACACCGCAACGAGAGTTGTGGAAAATTACTCCAACGTGAAAAGGGGCGTGCAGAGAGCAGTACAAATTCTGAAAACTGTGCACATTCAACGCCAATTTGAAGATGTCAATGCATCATTGGACTCCATGTTGCAAGGTGTGTGGGGCACATGGACAGGATGATGGGGGGCCTTTTCATGGCAATTGGTTGCAAGAGGAAGTAGGTTGAGAGGTAAACTCTAATCAGGAGAATTATGATGTCGATGCCAGTCAATCTTTCATGATCCTTGCACAGTGTACATCTGTGCTAGATGTGGGTTTTCATTCTGGTATCCACAATGACAACTGCTGGTCACTGAATTGCCTGGTTAATCTAGGTGCTTGATCTCTCTGCCATATTAGAAAATCTGCATGTTCAGGTGTGAATGTGAGGGCTGAAGGTCGATTGATGGCATTTCAACAACTGTCAATGTCGTTCATATAGATGCTAAGAAGAACTTTGCAGGCACTGGACGGAAAGGGCTAGTTCTGCTTGTGCTCTCACTCGTCGCTGCACAGCTTCACAGAGACTTTGAGTGGCTTGTGCACCATTCTGATTGATATTGTATTGATGCGTTTTTGCTGTGTTTCAGATCTGAAAGCAGCTTTGAGTGCTGGCACAGTGCTCAGCGTGCAGAGGAAAGTAGAGCGAATGCATGCCCCACTGCAAGGATCGACGTTGATGAGTCAGATGGACGAATATGCAAGATTGTTGACTCAACAACATATGCCAGAACACTATGTGGGGTTGAGTGACAGGGTGAAGGCCTTAGTGAGCATCCTGCAGACCACCAAGGCAACAGTGTTGGCGGTGGTAGGCAAAGGAGGGATAGGTATGAGGTGGATGTCCTGAGTAGTTGTGAAATGGAGATGCTCAGTATTTTGGACTTTTCATGTTGAATGCACAGCACTGTTGTCCAGCTTTTGGTTCTTTCCTTGGGGTTGGCTGGGTGGGTGGAATGGGGGAGGGGGAAGGGGTAGAATGGAAAACGTGGATGCTACCTCCTGTGTTGGCCCTTGGAGAGCAAAACTCGCTCTGTTTGTTCTCATCAGGGCATGATGTGGTTTTTAATGGGGATGTGGGTCACTGCAAGTCAGGAGCACCAGGGTGGTTGCTCGATGGATGGCAGTTCAGCTATTACACAACATCCATCATCTTCCATCATTGCCACACCTGGGCCTTTCTTCTTTTCCACTCTTGATATTCGTTTTCAGCTGTGGCCACTACGCCTAGCACCTTATTGTTGCCATCCTGAAATGTGAGGACAGTCCTTCTGGCAAAATTGGTGCAAGCCACTGTTTTTCGCCTGCAATGGGTGATCATACCCCTACTGTACTGTACAGCACACCACTTTTTCATCTTCTTGCCAATGGCCACTGGGAGGGAGGAATCCACCAATACAGGATGTTCAGCTGAGATGGCAACGTGTCTTCCCCATCCGTATCATGTCCTCATCTTCCTGTTTGTGGAATTGTGCTGCTACAGCGCATTCCCTTCATCATCCCCTCTGCCTCTGCACTCTTGCTACAGAAACGAGATGGTACTTTGAGCTACTGACAATGTGCACACTGTAAGAACAGTCTGTTGAACCGCTGCTCACCAAGCCTCCCACCTTGTTGAACTTTTTCCTGTCTGTTTAGTTCTGGCACTCTCGCGAAGGTAAAGAAAAACTGCCTCTGTTGCCTGAACATCAGTTGTAATGATGGACAAGCATGGACAGTTAGGGCACTGAACTACTACACGTTGTCTTTGATGCCTCTCCAGCAAATAGTGACAATATGTGCCCTGTTGGTGGGACACCAGATTCGATGCGTGAATGTGAGCCTTTGCTCTCGCAGGCAAGACAACCTTGGCCAGAGCCGTGTACAACAAGATATCTAGCTCAAGGACAGTCAAGGTTGGCTGGGTTACATTTGGCAAAAACCCGAATTTTTCACATTGCAGGGTGCTCTGGAACCGGTTGGGATTGTCTGCCCGCAAATCCAGGAGGTCACGAGCAAAAGAGGAGCTGAAGGAACTTGAGGAGCTGGAGGAACTTGAGAAGCTGCAGGAACGTGCCCTATTGTTTGTGGATGACATAAGGACAGTGGGTGACTTGAAAAGGCTGATGGAGGAACCAGCCAGAGTGAGGAGCAAACTGCTGGTGACAACAAGAGATGTAGAGATCGCAAGAAGGGTGAATGCAGAAGCGTATCATGTTGATGTACTGACCAAGGATCTGTCTATGCAACTCTTCTGCAGATGCGCTTTTGGGGAACCCCAAATTCCAACCAACAGAAGGGGATATTTGAAGGTCGTCAGTGACATGGTCGCGGAGTGTGCACAACTTCCATTGGCACTGGTGGTGGTTGGTTCCATGGCAAAGGGGTACCTTGGAATGGAGCAATGGAGGTCAGGTGCCAAGAAACTGCAGCAGTCCAAGTCGTTGGGCACAGCACATGACCGTGATTTGTTGCATGTCCTTGAGACAAGCTATGACGAACTGGATGATGCACACAAGAGTTTCTTCTTCTGTCTGGTTGGCCACCCTGAGGGTGCCCGTGTGAGAGTGTCTGATTTGGTTGAACAATGGGCTGCTTGCCAGGTTGTTACCTGTCATGGTCCAGACCCAGATGATGTGCTGCTTGAAGGCTATGCGGTGTTCCTGCAGTTGGTGGATCGCTCCCTCATTTTGCAAGAGGGATCAGGTCTGCTCTGCGACATGTCTTGTCATCTTCATGACATGGTATGGGATATGGGATTGCATCTGACGACAATAGGTGCAGATGTGATGCGGCGTGAGAGGTTGCTATTTCCCAATTGGCAGCTATTGGAGAACTGTGTGGTAGAGGCAAAAGAATTGTCAATATGTGGTAGTTCTCTGCGTTATTGGCCTGAGGGGTTCAGAGCACCATTGCTGGTGAGTTGTGTTGCAAGAGATATGGCATTCATTGAGTTGCCAAGTTCACACTTGTCCCGGCGTCTGAGGATGCTTGACTTGTCCGACTCCGCCATTCAAAAAGTCGATGCAAGCATCAAGCATCTAGAATTGTTGCAGCTGTTGAGAATCGATGCATGCACTGAGGTAGAAGAACTCCCTGAAGAGCTTGGAGACCTCAGGCAGCTAGTAGTTCTGTCGCTTCGGCAATGCCGCAAATTGCAGTACATCCCAGACTCCATTGGAGAATTGGTGAAATTGAGGGTATTGTATATTGGCAGTGCACTGCTGTGTTCACTTCCGCCTACCATATTTCAGCTGACACGATTGGGAAAGCTGGATTTGACTGGTTGCGCTGCCTTGCAGCAACTTCCCAGGAGTGTTGGGTCTCTTAGCCAGCTTCAAATGCTGAATTTGGGGCACTGCCATCGTGTGGTGGAACTCCCTGAGAGTGTTGGGTCGCTCAGCCAGCTTCAAATGCTGAATCTGACAAGTTGTCAAAGCTTGGCACGACTCCCTGACAGTGTTGGGTCTCTTAGCCAGCTTCAAATGCTGAATTTGGAGGACTGCCATCGTGTGGTGGAACTCCCTGAGAGTGTTGGGTCGCTCAGTCAGCTTCAAATGCTGAATCTGACAAGTTGTCACAGCTTGGCACGACTCCCTGACAGTGTTGGGTCTCTTAGCCAGCTTCAAACGCTGAATTTGAAGTTCTGCCATCGTGTGGTGGAACTCCCTGAGAGTGTTGGGTCGCTCAGCCAGCTTCAAATGCTGAATCTGACAAGCTGTCACAGCTTGGCACGACTCCCTGACAGTGTTGGGTCTCTTAGCCAGCTTCAAACGCTGAATTTGGAGCACTGCCATCGTGTGGTGGAACTCCCTGAGAGTGTTGGGTCGCTCAGTCAGCTTCAAATGCTGAATCTGACAAGTTGTCACAGCTTGGCACGACTCCCTGACAGTGTTGGGTCTCTTAGCCAGCTTCAAACGCTGAATTTGGAGTTCTGCCATCGTGTGGTGGAACTCCCTGAGAGTGTTGGGTCGCTCAGCCAGCTTCAAATGCTGAATCTGACAAGTTGTCACAGCTTGGCACGACTCCCTGACAGTGTTGGGTCTCTTAGCCAGCTTCAAACGCTGAATTTGGAGTTCTGCCATCGTGTGGTGGAACTCCCTGAGAGTGTAGGATCTCTTAGCCAGCTTCAAATGCTGAATCTGACAAGTTGTCATAGCTTGGCACGACTCCCTGATAGTGTTGGGTCGCTCAGCCAGCTTCAGATGCTGAATCTGACTAGTTGTCACAGCTTGGCACGACTCCCTGACAGTGTTGGGTCTCTTAGCCAGCTTCAAATGCTGAATCTGACAAGTTGTCACAGCTTGGCACGACTCCCTGACAGTGTTGGGACTCTTAGCCAGCTTCAAACGCTGAATTTGGAGCACTGCCATCGTGTGGTGGAACTCCCTGAGAGTGTTGGGTCGCTCAGCCAGCTTCAAACACTGAATCTGAAAGATTGTCAAAGCTTGGCACGACTCCCTGACAGTGTTGGGTCTCTTAGCCAGCTTCAAACACTGAATTTGGAGGACTACCATCGTGTGGTGGGACTTCCCAAGAGTGTTGGGTCTCTTAGCCAGCTTTGAACCCTGAACTTGTCTAGTTTGCAAGAGCTTGACAGAATTGCATGACATTGTGGATTGTTTGCAAGGGGGCGTCGTCCGAATTTAACATCTTTATGCAGATTTGTGGCATCTCTGTGGCTAGACATCTTTGTGGCAAGAGCTTAATTCTTGGCAGATTGTAAAACAATTCTTGCATGTTCGCACTTACGAACACAAGCAGGATGGTGGGATGTTCAAGGAACCGACTCTGTCAGTGATGGGGGTTTGATAGCTCAGCCCCCTCCCCTCAGCTTACCATCCGAAAGGAAATCAGAAATTCATATACAAGCAGCTTTCATTGCAAAAAGGCGCTCGAGCTGCGCCTCCACATTTTTTTTCTTATTTGTCTTGAACTTGGCACAGTTGCCGGACTTCAGACACATTGTAAGCTCGAAGCTTGTCCTATTCCGCACATCTCATGAATATATTCCATTATGCTCTTTTCTGTTGCAGCTCTGTTTAGCTCTCACAATCAAATAGACTGTTAATCTACTCAAACACTCACACCACGAGTCCCCACATAAAACCCAATGTCCTAATGCTACGCTGACATTGCTGCTCATTATTTAGCTCCTTAATATGCTAATGAGAAGCACTACACCTAATGTGTCAGCTACGCTGACCCATTTCTCTAACGTCACCTCGGCTATTCTGGCTTGGCAGTCAACTGCCTAATCCATCGTATTGCTATTCTAGTGTACAAATGTTGTTCTCAGTACACTTCTTAATGTACTTTGAAGTATTCGACACTAGTGTCAGATATATGCCTCTGTCGAATATATTTGACAGAAGCGCAGCATTTATTCATAACATTGCCGATACAACTTTGCATGCACAGAAACATGGCGATAAAGAATGAACCACACTGCAACTTGTTGTCCTTGTCAGCCTTGCTCTTTGGAGAACACAAGCACAGCACTCGAAAACAGTGAAGATGAACTCCCGGGAGTTCATGGCCCTAGATGTAGGGCCCTACATCCATAGGAATCCTCAACATTTGTGCAACGCACCACTGCGCCACCGCCAACATGCCACATAATGTGGCAAATGAGCACTGCAGATGTAAGACACACAGCCGAGTCATTCAAGATGGATCCTTCATCAAGGCCCGGAACATTCCTTATTTGTTGGGGTGGCATTCATGGGTTGGTTGGACTGGAGGACGTTGCGGCGTGTGGTTGGCACTTTGTCGCTTTGCCACCCAAATTTCATCAGTTGTCATTTGGCATTTGACCATCCTGACCACCAGTTCTTCTGTTGGTCACCCAGGCCCGCGGGTCATCACAACTGAGATAAAGGCCAACGCTGCTTGTGCACGTTCGCTCCCAGGCACGGGAAGCAAAACCGTAACCAGATGAATTACATGAGAGCGTATCAGTCGAATAGCATTCACAGCGACTGTGCCCGGTTTGTATCTCCCCATATCTTCACACTCACTTCACAGTACTCAATACCATGTTCACCACAACTACCCACACTGTCTGACATCGTACTCTCCATATCTACTCATTTGCTTACCTAACCCTTACAATCATCAATAAGAGGCTCTCCATATCAAGGCGGGGAGGTGGCCATCAGCTCCCTATTCCGCCCGAGCAGAGCAGTGCCCATGATTTGTTCAATGCGAACCCAAGATATTGCCACAATCTACGTTAGATTGTGGTTAGGTTCTAAGTTGGATGCAATCCAAATTAGGTTAGATTATCTCAACGCCGAGTTGCCATGCATCAGAGCCCACACAACCACCATACTCGACAAGTTGCCCACCATGATGTGGTGGCTTGGCTTGAAAGCCGGCTCTGGTATTCTGTTACAGTGCCGTGTGGGTCTCCGGCAGAGTACACGTGTCTACGATACATAATTGCATTATGAAATTGACAAATTTAAAATCATTGTCGCCTTGCGCTTTGAGGCCGTGATGTCTCAGGGCGTTTCGAGTGAATATTATTCACCCTTTCAGGGAAAAGCGGCACAAGTGAGTACAATAAAGTGTCGACCCTTACGTCACTTTTCCTAGCGCATGTATGGAACGGGGCCCGTTCCATTGTGGTGTAGCGCGCCATGCAACGTCGATCAGGGATGGATGGAGATTTGCTCTTTGCCGCGGTGGAAGGCAAACCAACTTGAACATCGCTGTGTTGGGCTCATGTGGAGACGGCTCTATCAAGGTCGGTGCGCCTGATATGTGTTGCTGATTACTACCAGAGTGCCTGGATGATTAGTCATCGCGACTGCCCACTTAGGGTGAGGTCGAAATTTCCACCAAAGAGGGGTGGAGGTGGGGGTGCAAAACGGCACATGTATCACCACCATGTTTGTGCACGACTGCGGGTACGAAGGAAAGACTGGTTCACTTTGAATCGTGAACCGTGGCCTGTGATGCGGAGAGCAGTGCGTAAATCACGCTGCTGGTTCAGTTCTCGAGTGCGTAAAGTACTGCAAGCAAAATTACACTAATAGAATTTCCTTCCATTACATCCATTCTGTCCAGCCTAGCCAACCATCCTTCATCTAAGCCGCCCTATCTGCGCCAGCTTCTAAGTCGTTCTCCATTTTTCTCCATTTTGGGAAGATGAGGCGGCAGGGTCCAGACCATGCTGGCAACCACGACCCGTTAATTGTATTCGCACTAAAGTACTGGTGTTCTGGCGCGGCCATGCTGGGCGCTTGATGACACACCTGAACCATTTTACCTGCATTGATCGGTCGGCAAGCAGATCGCTCGCATGTTGAGCAGCTGCAGACCAGTCGGAGGTGCTGGAGATGCAAAGAGTATGAGTGATGTGCAAACCAATGCAGAGCAAACATCGTGGAAAACAGGCGGGGCATCCCATGGGCAGAGGATGGAACAAGGTGAGGAGCCATGGTGCCTGATTGCCTTGGGCGCATGCAGGATGGAGTCGGGGAGCCGAAGAGCCGGGGTGCACTTGGGAATGGACATTTGCAACGGATTCTGCAATCCAACTTGCTGCGGTTGCGAAGGATTGCTCTTTTGGTCTGTGCATTACACCGTTCGCCATTTATAGCCCGTTATTTGCGGTTGCTAGGGCTTACTTAGTAGTCTTCAAAATCCCCTCTCGCTATTCCTTGGATCAAGAGTCCAAACCATACCACTATTTATGACCCAGAGTCAGTATCTATCGCCTCTTTTTCTCAGTTTCAGGATTCTTGCCTACAGATACCATTGCCAGGCAATCACTTTGAAGCACGTTTGCTGGGTTCCCAAGGTCCAGTCACGCGTGGCCAACAGCAATTTCGACGTCAATTAAATTACACCAATATACACGTCGAACCAATCAAAACTTGAAAACCAATCCACCCACTCCTTCCCCCCCCCCGGGCAACAAACCCCCGCCCTCACGTCTGGCTGCCCCGTCTGTAGCACGAGTAATGCGCGAGGTTGTCGTTGGGGTACGCCACCAGCACCGCGCTCCCAATCCTCTTCTTGCACATGTGGCAGGCCCGCTCGGACGTCGCGTGCACCATCCGCTGCTTGGACTTGATCAGCCGCTCCTTCACCTCCAGGTTCTCGCATGAGTACAGGTTCTTTGCAACGCCCACGTTCCTCTGCTGCTCAGCCAGGGTCCTCAGGCACGCCTCCACGAAGGGCATCACCTCGCAGAGGCACAGGTCGAAGGGCAGCGCGCCAAAGACCTTCTCGGCGTCGATGCGGTACCGTTTCCTGCTCAGCACGTGGAACAGCTGCCTCCACAGGCTGTGGTTGAGCCACTCTGGGGGCTTGGGGCCGTCCTTGAGCCCCAGGTAGATCTCCAGCAGCATCATGTAGATGTCGCCCCGCCCGGCGCCCTTGCTTGACTCGTACACCCTGTCGCAGAGGGCCTCGGCGAGCTCCAGGCTGTGCAGCTCCTGTGCATAAACCTCCAGGGCCTCCTTGTGCCTGCCAAGCTTTTCCATCAGTAGCGCTTGGAGATCGAAGAGCCGGCCGGAGGGGATGGAGGCCAGTGCGGTGGAGGGGTCGATGTAAGGGGAGGTCATTATCAGCTGCTTCAGGCGCTGGTAGGACTGTGAGGGGCTGGGAGCGGCGTCCTCGAGCTCCTGGGGCGTCGGCATCTTTTTCGGCCCGGCGGCCGTGAACAGTGGCACCTGGCTGCTATTCTTCATGGACTCCCGCAGCTCCTCGCTCGCCACCGACTTGAGAAAGCTGTCGAGGGACTCGCCTTCGCTGGGCTGGCCCAGGCAGCCTATCTCCTGCTCGTTCTCGAGCGCCTCCCTCAGGTATATCTTCATCAGCGTGCCATCATACTCTTCGTGCGACACTTCCCCACAGTCCAGCATGACTTCGAGGTAAATGGAGGAGTACTGAGGGGCGCTGGTGCGCAGAATGGGCAGCACGATCGCTGGCGGCAGTCTCTTCTCTGAGCAGATGAACATCTGCAGTGCCGCCTCTGCGTCCTGCTTCAGTACCCATGTCGCATGCTGCTGTATGACTGCTGCATCCTTTTCTGTGAGCGTGGACAGGTATCTCACCACCGCCCACACGCCCATCTCTCCAGACAGCCCAGATGCCACCCCCTGCGGCTCCACGTCAAAAGACTGCGGAGATTGCGACAGCCGCCGCAGCAGTTCCAGCCCCTCGCTGTGGTGTCCCCTCGATTGGTACAGAGCCGCGAGCTCAGCATACCTCCCGCACCCCACCAATGCCCCCCTCCCCTCCTCCATGTCCACAAAATTGGGCTGTTGGACGAATTGCAACAGCGCCCCCGTGTCCGGGCAAACCAACATGCCCTTCAAGATGGCCGTGTCAACAAGAGTTGCCTGTCTAGACCTGTGCAGCCGTGACATGACCTGTTCTGAAGCTGCGGTCTTGTCACTCGTCCCACTCTCCCCCACTGCCTGGTCCCTCTCCTCCCCAGATTCAGCCATCTCTGCCCCCACCTCAGGACCCAGCCTGTGTTGCTCGTCATCCATCTCCAAGTCCTCCCTCCTCCTGGTGGCCAGCCGACTCCGATGACTCAACAGGTATGGCAGCAGGGCCGAGACTGCCTTCACGCGTTCCTCCCCTTGTGGCTCCCTCATGTCGCTGAACAGGTCGTCCGGGACCGGCAGCGGGAAGTTCTTCATCTTGGCGGGGGGGGTCAGAGACGGAAACAGTTTGAGGAACAGCACGGGTGTGTTGCAGGAGTGCATGGCCAGTTGGGCCATCCCCTCGTCGTAATCCCCCTCAGAAAAAAGGTGCGCACCGTACCGCACGCGCAGCAAGTCCTCCGTGCCCCCCCGCTGGTCCTCCGGCATCATTCCGCAAAGCTCCAGGGCGTCCGGAAACTCCCCCATGCCCATCAGCTCCTCCACCTGGCCGCCCAGCGCCGTGGGCCTCAGCTTCCACAGCGCCTTCTTCGTCTTGGACGCCAGGTACACGCTCCCATCCATGCCCGCTACCTGTGCGAGCACCACCGGCCCCTCCACGTGAAACATCTGGACCACCCCCTTGCGGGCACTGGGGCTCAGATTTCTGACTTCGATGAAATTCTGGGAGGTCTGAAGAACGGCGGCCAGAACATAAGGCGGCGAGACGGCCACCGCCAGGGGCGCCTCGCTCCACGTGAGCGCCGATGATGGCCTCCTGGTCGGCCTCCCGTCCCTCCCGATAAACATCCCGAAGTTCTCCTTGGCCAGCAGGAGCTCATTCGCACCAGGAACAGGTGTCACGCTGGGCTTCATAGCCCTCCCCACAGTGAATAGATCCCCCAGGGATCCCGTGTTGGGGTTGGCCAGCACGTACTCCTTGCGGAATCCCGCGCACACGGCGTCCCCGCACCAGCCCAACACCAAAGGCACGTCCGGCACCGCCATGGTCGTCATCTCCATGAACTCCACACCCGTCAGGTGGTGGAATGCCAGCTTGCGCTTCACGGCCACGGCCAAGGTGAGCTTCTCTTGATTCCAAGCGAACCTGGATGCGCCTCGGGTGCCCGCGACGGTGCAAATTGGCGCCAGGTCCGGAAGCGTGTGCAGGTGCACGCCGTCATCAGACAAACTCAGCAGGGCCGGCTTGGTGGGGATCACATCGAGCTGGACGAGAGCGCGTTTCGAAAAGCCCTTTATCCGCTGGGAGAGGGTCAGCGTCGGATCCTCGGCATCTTGATCGGGGATGTCGAAGACGGAGAGGGAGCCGTCCGCGGCGCCGACCAGCAGGAGGGACTGCCAGGGGAGCAGGCACTCCACCTTGTCCTGCAGGTCATCGCAGGCGGACTCGAACTCGAAGGCCTCCGGGCCGCCGGACATGGGCGGGGGGGGTGAGGGCGCCGCGCGTCGCCCGCTGGGCTGGCTCGTCGCCTGTGGCCGCGCCTGTGTGGGTCCCAAGCCAAAGTGGGGATTAATGCGGCGCGGAAATGTGACGATAATGCGCACAATGGGTGTGTACAATCCGTTCAATGGGCACCATGGATGTGTGCAATGTTGCTAGCTTTTCCTGCGAGAGATAAATTGTTCTTCTTTGCAACAATGTTAGAAACTGTTCTTTTTGTAACGTGGACAATGAGACGTTATGAAGATCCAGGTTGGTAACTCGGTGACGAATGTGGCAATATTGTGCACAAGGTGGATTATTGATGCATGTCAAATGCGATTGGCGGGAGGGACCGCATACAGCATCTTGGGTATTGTGCTACGAACAACCTTTCCCGCTTAGATCGCCATCAGCCTCACAGAAATCTGGTCCATTCTCCGTTCAATTTTCTTTCAATTTTAGAAAATGAACAAAAATGCACATCATTCGTGAACAATCTTCACAGTTGATGAAGAGGCACGACATTGTTCAGGATGGCTGTTCTGGATTTCGTGGGGGCAACGCTTTTGACTTTTGGAGAGCAGGTCGTGTACACTGGTTTTCTCGAGCGAAGCCGGGCGCCTGGCTTGAGCCAGTGTCGAGGTTGGCATTAATGCGGCGTGAAAATCTGGTCCGAAATAGGCACTCAAATTAAAATCGTTTTCCTTCGTTTGCTTCATCAATGATAAAGAGGCACGGCATTGTTGATGATGGCTGCTCTGGATTTCGTTGAGGGAGTACTTTCGTTCTCCGGCGAACGAGTCATAGGCGCTGGATTCATGGGGGAATTAGTCAGCTGACGGCTATTCTCCTTGCATCGAGGTGCGGTTTTTTATTGCATTGGCGCAAAACAGAGGAATCAATTCATCCGCCAGAACGCATTGTAACCTCTCATTTAACACCCCCCTTGATTGTTCACGAAGAAGAAGGAAAATTGGGATGGTTGCTGGTTGTTTTCAAAGGCCTTGTTAAATTATGGTATAGTCACCATGGTGACTAATGTGTGGATGATGTGGACAACAAATTGGCATTGCTGCACAAGTGAAAAACAACAATATGATACATACGGTGACTAGCTCCCCATTGAGGCGAAACTTAGGGTGTGCACAACAACACAAAGGATCAATTGATGTTGAAGATAATTTGACAAAAGTTTTGATGAGTTAGATGGCTTAGATGAATGAATTGGGCGGTGAAAACATGATCATTGAATTGCTTGCGCGATTCTGATGAATTTAGATATGCTATGATTAAACGACAATCATTTAAGTCATTAAACTCATTTAAATCATTTAGGATAATGATCAATCATCTATTTTTTAATACCAGTAGTGGCTTGTCAAGGGCTTCCGCCACACGCCGGATCTTCCCCTTCCGAGGTACCTTTATACTGTGAAATGGAATTACTTGGGGAGACCATTTACTCCCTTGACTTTTCCCCCTGTTCCCTGAGGCCTCTTGTTGGGAACATTACAGTCTTAAATTATGTTAATTGACGACCCAATTAAAGGCCCTAGTAGATGGGATTAGGGCCTTGAGGAGGCATTCTCTTATTTGGGTGATTTCTGGCCGGCTGCGGTACTTTATGGCAGCTTGGCGGACGCCTGTACTTTGCACGGGTGACTTTGGTTGTTTTTGGGCCCACGGCGGGCGACCCGGGACGCAGTACGCCCTGCCGCACAAAATGGATGTGGTTTGAGTCATCAGTAATCTTATTGCTTGCGATTCTGGCAACTCGCCTCCCGGATCGCGCGGATCGGACCACAATCCGTGCGACCGAGCTCGCAGCATCCCAGCCTCCAACGCCGCGCACTCAGCGACCTTCCAGGAATCTAGGCCCACCACCTCGGAGTGCAACGAGTGCGCGCCCCGGTCAAGCCGCGGCCAATCGCGGCCGCGCGGGCCATTTCGGCCATTCGGGCGACAAGGCGGCGGCGCAACGCGCATCGACAAAACCAGCACCCCATCAGCTGGTTTCGGAGCGCGGAAGCTGAGGCGAACCGCGGCGGAGGGCTGCGAGCGAGAGAAAGAGCGGGGCGGCCCAAGCATTGGGTCGCCATTCGACGGGTCGGAGGAGGCGGACGCGGGTACCGGCCGGCGACCGCCGAATCGAAGCATCGATCGGCGAATCGCCGCGGCAAAGCCGGCGCCCGACGGCGGGAGGCCTTCCCAGGCCTTCGCGGCGGAGTTTGGACGAGCGCGGAGCGAGCGCGACCCTCGCCACGCGCTGAGGCGGCGGGTCGGCGGCGGAGGAGCACCCAGGCACCTCGGAGGGGGTAGTCAGCCGCATCACGGCACCGGTCTGACGTCAGAGGGACATCGCGGCACCCCCCCCAGCGGCAGTACACCGTGCAGTGACAACGGCACCGGTACAGCACGCAGCGGGCACGGCACGCGCTGACGCAACGCTGCGCAAGGTGACACAGCACCCCGGAGTGGCGCGCGAGGGGCGCAGGCTGACGTAGCGCTGCGCAGGTGATACAGCACCCGGAGCGGCACACGGCCAAGCCAGGCGGCCACCACGGTGCCAGGAGCAGCACAACTGAGCCGTTACAAGTACTGAGGCCTTCACTACTGTGCCAAAGTACTACACCAAGGCCAGTACTACGCCAAGTACTACACCAAGGCCAGTACTGCACCAAGTACTACGTTGAGGCCAGTACTACTTGAAGTACTGCACCAGCGGCCTGTACTTAAGGACTTGGAGGGGGAGTGGACTACTCAAGCTGTGGCCTCAAGGAATCCCAAGGGAACTCCAAGGAGTTGTGACCCCTTGAGGTGGGTTGGCTGCTCATTCCTGCATAGGTCCAAGTAGTTGGGGGAAGGAGTGTGCACAGGCGGGCCCCTACAAAGGGACTGTGTCCCCCCAGCCTTGGACCCAACCCGTTTTGAGGGTTGGTAGACCTTAGGAAAGTCCTAGAAGTGGGCCAGCCTTCACCAATAGGGTGTGACCCAGGGGCCGTCGCGATCCCCGGCTGGTAAGGCACTAGGCCACCCACAGTTCTTCCCTGCCCCAGGCAAGGGGCGATTGCCGCAGCATTAGGATTCTCCTTGGAATCCTAGTACTGTAGCCGGTGAGGGGGGAACCGTGTCTATTAAGGACTACGTCTCAGGGGATCCTGAGATTGGGGAGTTCCGATAGCTCCCAGTCTACAACTACAGGAAGACCCAGTACCGTCAGTATCCAGTCTACCCATTGTTAGACCGCTTGAGGCATTTCTGAGCCGAGAGCGAGAGTTTTCATCACTGTTGTAGCCAGAGGAGAGATGGCGGACTCTCGTGAGGCACGGAATGGACGGAACGACATGGATGTCGACGTGTGTTCTACAGGATCCGTTCATCCACCTGTAGCTTCATCGAGTACTGTTGGGCCATCACCTTCTTTCAGTCAGCAGGGACCAGTATCGACAGCAGCTTCAGCAGTAGCGGAGCAGACTGCCATCCAGGCAGCTCAGCAGAGTGTTGTGGCAGGACAGCAGGCTCATGAGGCTACTCGAGCCAGCATAGCTGCTGTCCAGCAGAGCGCTGCGGCGGGCCAGCAGGCCCAACAGGCGACCTTTGTGAGCGCTACAGCACTGCAGAGGACTCATGAGCTAGAAGAGGGAGCAAACAGGACGTTAACAGAGGTTCAGACAGGGATGCAGACGTTGCATCAGGATCAGGTGGAGACGCGCAGTATCGCTCATAGTTCTGCGGCACGCAGTTCAGAGGCCGTTCGTATGATGGAGGAGCTCCAGAGAGCCCGTTTGGAGGATCAGAAGGACTTCCAGTCTCGATTAGAGCAGTTGGAGACTGCATTGAGGAGGCAGATGAGCATCTCGGACGGAGCGGTGAAGAGGCTTGATTCAGTCCAACAGGAGTTGAACACCGCTCAGAGTGAATCGAGATCGCTGAGGCAGCAACTTCAAGAATCGAGTTGGAAGTTGTCTAATCTTTCTGAGCAGCAGACGCGAGCCCAGCAGGTGCAGGATCAGCGGTCAGCAGAGGCATCTGCTAGGGAGACGACCATCATGCAGCAGGCAGAGGAGATAGCGGCGCGTTTCGATCAGTTGCAGCGTCAGGCATCTGGGGGACAGGCTAGCACTTCACGACCTGTTCCCACATCCAGGATGACCCCGCCTGAGCCCATGCAGATTGAGCCTTCAGCTCCGTTTGCACAGCCCTGGGTGTTCTCTCAGCCTTTGGAGAAGGCTCAGGAGTCCCTATTCAACGTGTCAATTAAACCACCAGAGCCACCGGCGTTTACAGGGAGACAGAGACCAGGACATCGTCTGTTGGTTGAACATGGTGAAGGATTATTTGGCTCTCGTTCAACCAAGCGAGCTGCAGGCAGTGTCCTACGTCATTCTTCGATTGCAGAAGAACGCCAGGTGTTGGTGGGAGGCGGAGTTGGCTTCACGGGGTGGACACAGACCGGACACGTTGGAGGAACTGATGATGCTATTGCGGGCCCAGTTCGAGTCACCTGTCCGTGAAAACAGGGCTCGAGCTGAGCTATTGAGGTTGCAGCAGAGGTCGACGGAGACAGCGAGCACGTACATGGCTCGCATGAAGACATTGTTGACAAAGGTCCCAGGCTATGACTACAAGACGGCATTACAGCAGTGGATATTGGGGTTGAGACAGCCTTTCAGACTAGAGGCGGCAAAGGCTTACCCCAAGACTCTTGCAGAGGCAGAGGCCCTGGTGTGCAGATTAGAGGACGCCATGGAGTTTTGCAAGGGCGGACGTGAGGATTCGTCCAAGCAAAAGGCATCAGGATCAGGCAACCAGGACCAACAGAAGAAAAAGAGCCAGCGGTATAGGCAGACGGGTGGACCAAGGGATAGTGGGAAGAGTACCCAGCAGCAGCAGCCGCCAGTGCAGAAGAAACAGTTCTTTCCGCCACGACAGTTTACCAGTCAGTATCCTTCGACTAGTGGTCAGGGGCAGACTAGTCGCCAGCCCTATCCCCCAC